TTTGTAACCACAATATTCCTCCTCCACAAGTGAGGATTATTTAATAATATTTCGAAATTCTTGTTTAGTTAAAAATAAATAAAGATCAATTTATGTTGGATATAAATGTGTTGGATGAAATTGAGAGCACACACACACACGATATATTTGTGTGTGATTATACGCCTAACTGATGAACATGGAAACAAGATAATACATTACTCGTGGTGTTTTGGTACCCTAATCATTAGTGCAAAATTGAAAATTTGCAACACATATAATTTATAGCGGAAAATTTACAAATTTATCACAAAAATTTCATTGCCTTCACTTGAGATGGAACAATCTATGGCAAAATTAATTAGCGATAATTTTTTCTTGATGTGGGTCATTAATTTCTAACACAAATCACTTTTTATTCCTGCTATATGAAAGATGATCGGAGGCAAGTGATGATGGGGGAAATGTGAATATACTTCCATGAGGTTTCTCCACCAAGCATTTCATTGAAATTTGAGATTTTTTTTTTTGACAAAAAACAATTTGATAAATTGTTAAGGTATACTCTTTTGTCTCACGTTATAAGATACTTTTTAAACAAAATCTCACGTATCTATAAAGTTCATTAAATATACTTTATTATCTTACTTTTTCAAAATAAAAATATAAGCTTTCAAAAATGTCCTTCATTTAATACTCCATTGATGAAAGAATATTGAAAAAAAAAAGAATATACAGGAAAGGTAATATTAAAAAAATATCATTAATGAAATCTTATTTTATCAAAGTATCTCATATTTTAGAACGTTAATTTTTCACTAAAAATGTCTTATAATTTGGAACGGAGGGAGTATTTATTAGTCACTTACAATATGTTTCACCAAAATTAAGAAAAACCTTAAACCTTATTAATTTTATTTTAAAATTTAATAAATTTTTACCTTACCTCTAATAAATATTTTTATATCTCATTACTGTACTTTCATTCAAAACATTTAACAAAAGCAAAAAATATAAAAAAGAGCATTGAGAATTGACAAGTGCATTATAAATAAGATTAATTTTTTTGTTTTTCTCTCTTCTCTATAAATAGGAGTCGAGGAGTATATCATTTCTAAATGGGGGAAATGACTTTTAGGTCCTAAAAAATTAATTTAATGACAGTTAATAAGAACGACCCCACATATCAGTACGTAGTTCAAATAATTAATTTGAGTGGGTAATATAGCAGTAATTAAGTATTTAAGTCACGTATCCTTTCCAGTGATTTATAATTGAGAATCTCAAATTTACAATTATCTGAATTAATAATTAGTGAAACTTAGCTCTTAATAATTTTATTAAAATCTAATGTTTGTTAAATCAAACTTTTGAACCAAATTATCCTTTTATGAATCATATTGCCTGGGAAGGATATACGTAAGAGGACATGAGTGATTATTACAAATTCTAACAACATTATATCATTTATTTTCCTAAGAGTGTTTCTCTTAGTTGAAGTATAAATTATCTGGCACTTCAACAGTATCTAATAATTTTCTTCTACATGCTTTTTTTTTTTAAAAAAAAACTCAAGCAAGGATAAATTAGGAAGCATCATTATATTACTTCTAAGCCTCCTCCAGATTTTGTGTGCGCGCAAAGACGTGTGTGGCTTGAGGCGAGTAAGGCAAGGGGCTTAGGCCTCATCAAAATCTTGTTTATAATTTATATAATCATTATTAGTTATTTTTATTTACCATTATTGATATCATTCTTAGTTAGGTCTTTTGGTTGAAAATTTATTGGCACCCCTTATTGATGTATCAGTGTTAGTATTCACATACCATTCAAAAAAATATGATAAGGGGGAAACACTTTGTTAGCAACAATTCTCAACTCCATCTATCGAATCAATTTTTTTTATTAGAAATATTTGATTACAAAATTTTGATTATAATTCTGTAGTTTCAAAAAATTTTAAAAATATATATGAATAGTTGTTTTTTTTTTGGGGGAAAAAAAGAAGAAGCAATGACACATGACAGGCCTATCGGATAATTTCGCCTTAAACTTTAAAACTTCTTTACACTGCCTGTGTGTATGTGGATAATTTATAGATAGATTTAACATTTATAAACTGGGAAGTGATGCAAGGTTTAAAAAAAAAAAAGGGGAGTTGGGGACGGAGAAAGTTGTGGAAGAAAACATTAAAAGTGACGTGGAAGCATAGAGAATTTAAACTTTTAACCATACTTATTAAATTTAAAACATTAAATTTTTAAAATTATATTGTATTTCGGAGTATTGATTTGATATTAAATTTTTGAAAGGAATGAGAAAATTACCCCTTATTTAAATTGATATAAAAGTTTTCTTACTTCACTTATTCATTTGCTAATGGAATGTTCATTTTTTTGAAATGAAATCATGTGAAAGTCTAGCAATGATCAAGTGAAGTAAAGCAATGAATAACATTTCGTAAGTAAAATAACAAATTAAATAAGATAATAAATAAATAAAATAAAAAAGTTTTGATATTAATTTAAATGAGAGATAATTTTATTATTTTTTTAAAAAAATTAATGTCAAATTAATACCTATAAATTGTAGTAAAATTTTGAAAATTTAAATATTTTAAATTTAAATAAAATATGGGGCAAATCTTTATTGAAATGCCGGTGGAAATATTAGGGGTTCATTGACGCGTTGGCCATCGCCGTCCGATATGACGTTGTAGGGTAGTTAATGCATTGTTTGTTGAAATAGACTTGTTCGTTTGTAATTAAGGGGACGACGCTGTTGGCATTTGCTGAGATGCCGTGTCAAAATAACCAAACAGCGAAGGGGTTCTTATGAACGAGAGACTTGTGCAATGTATAATTGTATTCCTTGACTTGTACGTCTCCCTAAAGTCTTATCCTTACTTACAGCTAACGACAATAATAATGCGCTCCACCTGACTTCAAACTTTTTATGTGCTATGGCTGACGAGTCAGCCAACGTGCAAGACTTGTACTATTCGTATATTCTCTCAGATCTTTTTCACACTTGCTTTTATTTTTAGTTAAATAAACAAATTGTACGAGAAAATAATATAATCTGACTGCTTGTGGTTAAAAAAAATTAATTTTAGCTTTTACTTGACTATAAAATAATAAAAAAGAATTTCAAAAATGATAAAAATGATAAAAAATAACAATAAAAAACTCAAAATGACAAATAATGATTCAAAAATTACATACAAATTTGGTCTTTTTTGTAATTTTTAAAGTCTATTTCTGTTATTTTTTAATTAATTAACTATCAAAATTAAATTATATTAATGATAAGAGTCAAATTATATCATTTTTAAAAGTTTAAAAAATAATTTACATAATAAATAAATTCATGATCTATGGTGCGACCTAGACCTAAAAGTCAAGGGGTGATTTATTCATATACCCTTAATTTTTTTAATCATGCATTGTTATCTTCTTATTTAATTAAGGTAATATTATTTATAGCAGTGTTAAGCACTATATAAAAACATACTCCCTTTAGGTCAAAATATAGGAAACTGATAACTAATTTACATTTATAAAAAATATTTGTTAAAATATTAATTTCTTAAAAAAGTTATATCTTTTCAATTTTACCTTCATTAGATACTCTTTATAAATATTTTGATAATGACAATTAAAATTTTAATACATTATTTTTTTAAAATGAGTAGTAAATAAAGTAGAGGTGTAGTTAAAAAATAATTATAAAAATTATTTAATATTTTATATTTTAAATTAAATGAAATTTTTAAAAGATATTTTATATTATATTGTCAAGGGAGTATTTTTCAAATAAAAATTTGAAAATTGACCGGACATGTTACCAAATCCTCCCTATTAATTAGTCTTTCATACATGCTTTTCACACAAAACATCATTACTTGATGGCCATGTCTATCACCTTTGGGCTATATTTAGTATGCTAGAATCAAGAAAAAAGAAATGAAATTTGATATGGAATCCCCCTTAAGTATGTTTGCTATGTCTTAATCATGATTCTCATGAAATTAGATTCCATCTAAAAACCCAGAATTGGATTCTTTATTGTGAACCATGGAATCCATTCAATTTCATAAAATCACATTTTTGTTCCATTTTACCTCTTCCTCACATCTTTAGGATGATCGACTCCTCCCCCTTCGGTCATCTCTTTTGCTTCCTCAATCTCCAATGACAAATCCATGCTTGGCCTCTCCCTCTTATCATCTCTTCCACCTTCCTCTCTTCATCACACCTCCAAGCTGATGGACACAACTCACAAACAATTTGAGACGATCTATAGCTTGCAAATTGTTTGTTGGAGTAAAGGGTGAAATTGGTGTCGTTATTGTCAGTGTGATTGCTTGCATAAAAAGTTGTGGTGATGAGTGAAATGAGCAATACAAGTTAGACCCAAGAAGGAAGATAAAATTGAAGGCACAAGCTTGTAGTTCTTCAAATATGTGGCTTGATCTATGGGGGGGGTTTTGTATTTGTGTGGTTTTTGGATGTTTTTTTTTTGGATCTGTGCAGTGGTTGGTGGCTGCCATTGATGGAGTGTCGGTGTCAATGGTGTTTTGGTTGCAGACAATGGTGTTTTTTTATCTGTGATTTGTTTTTGTTTTTTATTTTGTAAGGGCATTTTAGTCTTTTTATATTTTAAATATATATACTTATTAAAATTATATTAAGATTCCCTCTTCATACCTAACACATTTTTAAAATTTAATTTTATTCTGATTCTAATTTCAATTCTAATTCTAATTTTAATTCTATTAAAAACTCTTTTATCATATTAAATAAAGTGTTGGAGTTGCATCCCAGCTGGCTTCCACCACTTCAGTCTCCTTAAAGTCTTTTCCTTATTTATATTGAATATAATCTTTCAAAAGGAAAAAAATATTTCTGAAAGCAAAAAAAAAAAAAATTGAATCCTAAACAAACTAAAAAGAGCAGCCACAAGTGTACAACTAAGTCTGTCTCAAATGTCCCAATTTCTAATGAGAAATGGAAACCACGGTCCACGAGGGCGTGCTCGGAAAATGAGATGCAGTGACAAATTAACCAAATAGCTAAGATTGGATAGCAAGCTGACACGGCAGCCATATCTAAGCAAGACTTGTATTCCTAGACTCATTCGAATTTACCTTTTCCAATTGATTTGCTGAATTCGAAACTACGAAGAAGTTGAAGATACTGTTTAATTTATTACTACATTGAACTCATGAGCCTTCCTGCACAGATCGACAATCCTTAACACCCCTAAAATCGCATCTTTAAGCTCTACTTCTTTATCTATCGCACTTCATTCCGATAATGGCAATAACGACCCTCAATATTTTCCTACCGCTGCTTTCATTCCTTTCTCTTTTTCCCATTCTCACCGCCCAGCAGCATCCTGACTACTCTAATGCCACCTGTTTCGATGACAAAGGAACCTACTCAAACAGAAGTGCCTATCACACTAACCTGAATACTCTTCTTTCTAATTTCACTACGAACACAGAAACTGACTATGGCTTCTACAATTTCTCTCACGGCCAAAACCCTGACACAGTTTACGCATCTGGACTCTGTAGAGGAGATGTTCAACCTGATGTTTGCCGTAGTTGCCTCAAAAACGCCACAAATCTTCTCCCACAGCAATGTCCAAATCAGAAGGAGGCATTTTTATACTATGACTTGTGCATCTTTCAATACTCAAGTCGCTCAATGTTTCGGATATACCAGGACCCTGACTTTTTCCAAGCCATTAACAACCAAGAAAATGCAGCAGATGCAGATCAGTACACAGATGCGCTTAATCGTTTGATGGAAGCTCTAAAAACCAGGGCCGCTGGTGGTGGGCCTAATCGGAAGGTGGCTGCCGGAAACGCCTCGTTTTCATTTCAAACTGTATATGGTCTTGCTCAATGCACACCGGATTTGAGTGAGCAAGATTGCGACGAATGCTTGGTAAAGGCGATCTCGGATATCCCACTTTGTTGTCAGAACAAGGTTGGTGGTAGGGTTTTCAAACGGAACTGCAATCTTAGATTTGAGAAGGTCCGGTTCTATGATCCTACAGTTATTGATCCAATACAGTTACCTCCACCTCCTTCTGCTTCTCCATCAACCAATACTAGTTCCTCACAAGGTATCTCCCAACTCAATCCTGTTTATCTAATGAGTCACTAAGAAAGGTTTAGAATCGCCTATCCCTGTTTTCCAAATTTGAGGCTCTTTATTGTCAATAAGTTTGTTGCAAGGTCCTTGTATGTCATTTTCTCTATTAATGAATTATTAATGATACATAAACTTATGGTGTTGCCTTAATTGAATCATTCTATTATTGTTTGTGTGATACTGCAGGACCTCCTGGACCACCAAACGTTCCAACCGGAGAAGGTATCTGCTACTTTCGGGCTGAGTAATGTACTCTGATATTTTTAATTTTTATTTATTTATTTTATCATACATCTGTGACCTCCGATCGATCCTGTTAGATGAGAACAATTATGAACCCAAACTTAGTTAGTTTGCCGATCTGCTGGTTGTCTGTATGTGGTCGAGAAATACGTCAATCAACTTTTGATCTTGTTCGGCTTTTGCAGGAAAAAACAAAAGATCAAGAATTGCCATTATTATTGTGGCTGTGGTGACTGGTGCCTTCATCGCCCTTCTCATCCTCACTCTCGTCTATCTCTGTGTTAGGAAATCGAAAAAAACCATTGAAAGTAAGTTAAGAGCATGAGGATACAAATCAGGTTAAGTTAGAAGTACTTTACGTTAGACATGTTTAAAATAATATTTTTATGTTAAAATAGTTTAATTCCAATGAATGTTAACCTTGTTTCATCGCGTTCGAGGGACTCATCTCTGGTTTGAAATTTTTTCTTAGATGAAGCTGAAATAATAATAAAGGATGATGAAGAAATTAGACCAGCTGAATCGTTGCAATTTGACTTTGAAACCATCAGACTAGCAACAGATAACTTCTCTATTGCAAATAAACTCGGACAAGGAGGATTTGGGCCAGTATATAAGGTATATAATTACAATGTTAGATCAAGATAATTACATAACATCACATCGCCAAAGTAATTATAAAGTATATGCAGAACTATGCAGGTGTTAATTAATTAATTAATTACATGTCTTAACTCAAATAAATGCAGGGTAAGCTTCGTAATGGACAAGAAGTTGCTGTCAAAAGGTTGTCCATGGATTCAGGGCAAGGATATTTAGAATTTAAAAATGAAGTGTTATTGATGGCCAAACTTCAACATCGCAATTTAGTAAGATTGCTTGGTTTTTGTTTGGATGGAACTGAAAGGCTTCTCGTTTATGAATTTCTTCCCAATCGAAGTCTTGATTACATGTTATTCGGTAAGTGATCATGATAGAGTCTTTAAGCTTGATTTTGATTTCATATATACATTTGGTATCTTTATTTCTTCATTTATATTGGATGAAAATGGGAATAGATATACTAGACATAGATTAAAAAGACTATATATAGACCTAAATAGGCATGGATTTACTACAGATCCAATCCAAAGAACTCATTTGCATTGGGAAGTGCGTTACAAAATTATAGTTGGCATTGCTCGCGGCATTCTTTACCTTCATGATGATTCAAGATTACGTATTATTCATCGTGATCTTAAGGCAAGTAATATTCTTCTGGACAAAGAGTTGAACCCAAAGATAGCAGATTTTGGCATGGCAAGATTATTTGATTTAGATCAAACTCAAAGCAATACGAGCAGAATTGTTGGAACTTAGTAAGTAGTATTACTTACATTAACACCAAATAATTAGGCTTAATATCATTTATGTCTAATTAAACTTTTACATGTTGACAAATAGCGGATATATGGCACCAGAATATGCAATGCAAGGACAAATATCAACAAAATCAGATGTTTTTAGTTTTGGTATATTGGTTCTCGAGATCATAAGTGGCCAAAAAAATAGTAGCGTGATTGATGAGGAGAATATACAGGATCTTTTAAGCTTTGTAAGTCTCTACCCTTCTTTATTTATATTATCATGCCATTTTAAAAAATCTACATAGAATGGTAAGCAAAGATTCTTATATGAGGAACTTAATTGTTGCAGGTGTGGAAAAACTGGAGGGAAGGGACAGTGTCAAATATAGTAAATCCTGTGATGAGCAATGGTTCAAGGGATGAAATAATGAGAAGCATCCACATCGCATTACTATGCGTTCAAGAAAATGCAGTAGAGAGGCCTACCATGGCTTCTGTTGAACTTATGCTCAACAGCTACTCTTTGTCTCTCCCTTCACCTTCACGGCCTCCATGTTTAATGAATTATAGCAGTACAGTTGAGATCATGCAAAGTTCAAATAAAGGAGAGCAAGTACTTAACTCTACTCAAGAAGCATAAAAATGAGGCCTCAATGGCTGAACTGTAAGCTCTCAAGCTAGGTTTTGGCCTTGCCGGTGAATCTAGAGATTTTGTATGACAGTGAATAAAGATTTCCTTCTGAATTCCTCTGGTTCAACATCCTTCTGTTTCTCTCCTCACATGCAATATACACGACCTATTTAGTTGTTCCAAAGGAATGAATGGAGTAACATATATATATGGACTAAAATGATAATTACCATATGAAAATTTTTATGTAAAGAGAGTAATAAAGGACTGAGAATAAGTATTATCACGTATAAGATCACCAATCTAGTTTTACAATTTTCAGGGAACTGATGATAATTAGATGGAAGAAACCACTAATGTGATTACGATTAACCAAACATAATTTTTATTGAAATAAATTCATAAGAAATTATGCTTATATATAGATATATATTAGAATGAGATGATGATTACTATGGGAGAAAGCTATTCTTAAAAATTAAGGAATCGAAGTAAAGGGGGAGACCATAGACAAATACTTTTACATCAGTGTAAACAAATAAGTCACTTCTGTTTAACAAATTCTTAAGTTTGTTAATTCTCCCGTTTCACGTCAAATCTAGGTTTTAAGAGTTACTCCATCTATTAAAAAAATAAAAGATATTTTTAATAAAATCTTACCTATTATTTTCAAATCGATACCATGTTTTTATATTTATCTTTACTAAACAAAAATGTTTCAGTTTTGAAAAAAAAAAAATTACACTTTAAAATACTAAAAATAATTTATAATTTTTTAATATTTAATTTCTCAAAAAATAACTTATATTTTTTAATAGAACAATGATATAATAATATATAAATGGATGAAATTCATCTTCCAGACCATGAGACTAGTTTATAACCAAAAAAAAAATCCTAAAAGTTAAAATATACTAAGGCCAAAATAATTTCAGTTTATTAAATTAATTTAAAATTTAGGTAAATTAATTGAAAATTAAATTATTGAGATAAATTTTACGACAAAAATTATAATTATATAATACATTTAGTTAGAAAACTTTTGATCATAAACTTTTGGCACTTTAAAATTTACAGGAGTATCGATTATCTTTTTGAAGAATATTCATAAGGAGATAATTCGGACATGTTTGTCTTTTGTTTTATTTTTTTTTGTTTTTGAAAATAGAAAAATTTAAAAACATGTTTGGTTAAGTATTTACGATAATATCATTCCCATGGTTTTTCATTTTTTGTTTTTAAACAAAAAAATATAAACAACGTCAGGTTGTTTTTATTTTATTTTTTTATTTTTAAAATATAGTAAATTTGATTATTAAAAATTATAATTATCTTAATCAATTTTTTTCATAAGTCACCGCTATTAAGTGTTTATAATTATCATTATCAGTCTATTTTTAATTTTAAAATTATTTTTAAATTAGTATAACTAAACAGATTTTCATTTTATTTTGCTTTGAAAAATAATTTTAAAAAGTATACTACAAAACAGTTAGAAACCAGACCGGCCTTGGTAATCCAAACCATACTTTTATAAGTAGAAGGGTGAAACTTTAGCCTGCAAATATGATAGCATAAATGTTTGGAATATTGTTAGGATGTCAAGTGTGAGTTAGTTTGATGTGGTATGAGAAAAAATATCCCATATCAAACAAAGTTTGATTGGAAAATAAATATATAAGTGAAAAGGACTCACAAAATCCATGCCTTAAAATTTTGGGTTAAAATGTGGTATTATACAAACTTATCTATATTCTGTTGTAACCATTTGGTGGCCAGAAAAACCAATTTAATTTGGTCGACTGTTTCAGTCGCCAACGTCTTGTTTAAGCTTAGTCTAAGCAGTATATCAAATCAGTTAAAAAATTGAAAACCAATTTAATTTCTCTTAAAAAAAAAACGAAAATTCTATCTGTTTTTTTTTTTTTTAAAGGAAAGAAACGTAAACACCAGATTTGCCCCAGATCGAATTAGAAAAGGACTCTTAATTAATCAAACCATCAAAATGGACTTCTGTTTGCGCGCTTTCAGTCAACCAATAATGCCAGAACAGCATGAAGCATGCGTCGAAAATTAAAAAAGTGAAGTTGGTCAAAAAAAAAAAAAAAAAGAACGACTTGTCAACTTCTTGGGTTTTATGAAAGATGTTTAGGACATGATTGTCCTAAGAAGGCTTATTCCTTACCGCATCCTGAGCTTCACACCTAATTTTGTCGGTCAGATTTCATGCGTTCCTCAATGAGAACAACTGTCATCTCTTCTTTGGCTCTAATTTCATTCCTTTCTCATCTTCTCGTTCTCATCACCGCCCAGCCTGATTTCTATTTTCACAAGTGCTTCAATGAAAGTGGTAACTACACAAAACAAAGTTCCTACAACACCAACCTCAATACCCTTCTTTCTAATTTCACTTCAAGCACAAATATTGACCATGGCTTCTACAATTCCTCCTATGGCGAAAGCCCCAACACAGTCAATGCACTTGGAATGTGTAGAGGAGATGTGAAGCCAGATTCTTGTCGTGCTTGTCTCAATAATGCCACAACCCTTCTCCCAAAGCTCTGTCCATATCAGATGGAGGCGTTTGGATACTATGATTTATGCATGCTTCGATACTCAAGTCGTCCCATGTTTGGGAATTACCAGGACCATGACTTCTACAATTATACTAGCAACCAGACTGATTCTGCAGATGCAAACAAGTACAAGGATGCGCTGGATAATCTAATGAAGAATCTAACAGACAGAGCTAAAGATGGCGACTCTCATCGTAAGGCGGCTGCGGGAAACACACTAGCTGATGATCAGTCTCGAATTGTGTATGGTCTTGTTCAGTGCACGCCAGATTTGAATCAGCAGGATTGCTTCGATTGTTTGAAGGATTCTATTTTTTATATCCCAAGGTGCTGTCAGGACAAGGTTGGTGGGAGGGTTATCAAGTTGAACTGCAATATTAGATTTGAAAATGTCCTATTCTATGATTCCACAGTTATTGATTCAATACAATTAGCTTTGTCTCCTTCATCAACCGATACAACTTCGTCACAAGGTATATCTACCTCAGCTTATAATCTTATGTATAGTGTTCACTATGAAAAATTTGACCCACCAATCTGTGTGATTGGATAAACTTGAAGAGTTAATATAAAAACTTCACTTGTGTGATCTCTTAGGAGTCCCTGAACCAGATCCTACATCGTCAGGAAAAGGTACGTAGTATTCTTATTTAAGTAATATAACCTGGTATGTTTATTTTTAGTGAATATCATGGGCATAAGATTATTAATAAATATAAATTAGAAAACTTTAACAAGACATATCATTCATAAATCATAAATAATACGAACTTCTGTAATTTTATCCGTGGTTTGTCATAATCTGATGGTCAAAAAATATGTCAATTAATGAGCTCTCTCTCTCTGCAAATTCGACTTTTGCAGGAAGCAGCCATAATTCAAGAACTACCGTTATTGTGGTTGTAGTGCTGATTGGTGCCTTTATCGCCCTTCTCATATTATTCTTCGTGATTAGAAAATCGAAGAAAAGCCACGAAAGTGAGTAAAAATTACCTTCTTACTTTTTCTGGGAAAAAAAAATTCTTTAAAAAAGCTCATTATAATTTAGATTAATGAAACCTTTTGGGCAAAACAAATGCAATAAATTTTGTATGTTAAAATGGTTTTCCAACTAACAAAGGTTAGGGGTTTATATATATATATATATAGACTTGTCGCTTCTTCCTATTTCAAGAACTCATGACTTGCTCTTTCTCAGTTGAAGCTACAACAATGAGGATAACCCAACTGAGTTGCTGCAAATAGATTTTAACACCATCAAACTAGCCACAGATAACTTCTCAGATGACAATAAGCTTGGACAAGGAGGATTTGGGCCTGTATATAAGGTATAATAACTTTTGTTACCTTGAGATAAATAGCAGGACATTGTTGAAAGTGAAAAAAAAAAAAAAAAACCCTGTGTGATTGCGTGTGTGGCTATTGATCGATTAGTTAATTATTTACATCTTCCAACTCTGATAAATAAATGCAGGGCAGGCTTCCCGATGGACAGGAAGTTGCTGTGAAAATGTTGTCCAAGAATTCTAAGCAAGGAGATTTAGAATTTAAGACTGAAGTGATGTTAGTAGCTAAACTTCACCACAGGAATTTAGTAAGACTACTTGGTTTTTGTTTAGAAAAAACAGAGAAGCTACTCGTCTATGAATTTCTTCCCAATAGAAGCCTTGATTTCTTCTTATTCGGTAAGTTATATACTTTTGGATTTCTTCTTATAATTTACTGACATTATTTTTGTTTATTGAAAATGAGAATGCATATTTTAGAATAGTTTTAAAAGGCAATGGCATTAAATGGGTAAGAAATCTTGCAGATCCAAACCAGCAAGCTTATTTGAATTGGATAGTACGATACAAAATTATAAGAGGCATTGCTCGTGGCCTGCTTTATCTACATCAAGATTCAAGATTACGTATTATTCATCGTGACCTCAAAGCAAGTAATATTCTCTTAGATGAAGAATTGAATCCTAAGATATCAGATTTTGGGACAGCAAGACTTTTTAAGATGGATCAAACTCGAAGCAATACTAATAAAATTGTTGGAACTTTGTAAGTTTTATTGACTTTAGTAATGGCTGATATAGTTACAAGACTTAAATAACTTCTATACACACACACACATTAAGCTAAATTTGTTTATTTTAAAATGCAGTGGTTACATGGCACCAGAATATGTACTTTATGGTCAATGTTCAGTAAAATCAGATGTCTATAGTTTTGGAATATTGGTTCTAGAGATTGTAAGTGGCAAGAAAAATAATAGCATACTTCACGCAGTGAACACACAGGATCTGGATCTATTAAGTTTTGTAAGTCTCTGCCTTCCCTCTCAAAAAGTAAAGAATTCTATACTCTATATAGCTTGCCAACATGCAATATTGTAGTGGCAGCCAGCTTGGGACTAATATTCTTCACCATTAATGAACAACATTATTTTATTGCAGGTATGGAAAAATTGGAAGGAAGGTACAGCCTTAAATATAGTAGATCCTGCGTTAACCAATGGTTCAAGAAATGAAATGATGAGATGCATCCACA